TCCGGCCGCTAATGAAATTGGGTGTTTTGTTTACTCCATCCCCAAAGCATAAACTTTGGCTTTTTATAGCCAGAGCAGTGTGCTATTTTAAACATGTGGCGGAAATGCACTGTCAGTTACAAACATTTGCTCCTGTGATTCTTTTTTTTTTTTTGCGGTACGCGGGGCCTCTCACTGTTGTGGCCTCTCCCGTTGCGGAGCACAGGCTCCGGACGCGCAGGCTCAGTGGCCATGGCTCATGGGCCTAGCCGCTCTGCGGCATGTGGGGTCTTCCCAGACCGGGGCACGAACCGTGTCCCCTGCATCGGCAGGTGGACTCTCAACAACTGCGCCACCAGGGAAGCCCTCCTGTGATTCTTATTTGCTAGCAAAGGACATGGGACAGGATGTTTTACTCTCCTGCTCTGGTTTTCCTGTATTGCTTAAATCTGTTTAGAGAGAAGAAAAATAAACAAAGTGTTTCTGCTGGGCAATTTCTATAAACTGAAGCAACTCCAAAAATGAAAAAAGTCTGTGGAAAAAATATTTTACTGCATTAAAATAATTTTCTTTTAATAAATTAGATATTTCCTGTAGATTCTTCCCCTGAAAATTTTGCATACCACGTGTGTGCAGCCTGCAGCACATACTAATGTCTGCACTGATAAAATGTGTACACTTAGACACCCCAGTTCAAATGAATTCCTCTTGAGCCTGTCTTTTCCCAAGCACAATTACAACTGTCGAAGCTTTTTGAGGTGAATTTCAGAAAAATGATCATGCCAACCTTGATGGTCATCTTCTGGATTTATTCAGAAATTCAAGGTACATGTATCACAACTAAATGTGTCCCCATCTGCATGTACAAACTGTGAGGACTTTTTTACTGAGGCAGACATATCCTTGTAATCTGTTATGTTCCATTACAGCTTTCAAAGAAACTGATTTTGCTCAAATTTCACTTTACCCCTTTATAATGGAGTCAGTAGTTCATTAATCTACTAAAAGGTATGTCATTGGTTGACCCCTCTAGATACCCTCTATGTCCTCCACACTGCTCTCTGCCCCAAATGCTGTCCTGTACGGACAAAAGACTCTCTTCTTTATCCAACCTTAGTCAGGCTCCTTTGAGACCTCTTCTCGCCTAAGCCTCAATCTTGGCCCCATCCTTGATGGGCTTGCATAGCTCAGTTTCAGCAAGAATCCTGCTAAATCAGTTTAAACAGAACTGCCCACTCATATCTGATCACTCTTGACATATGATCAAGTTCTTCATTTGCCACCTCTGATGTATAAGTCCTTGGCCTGCCTTCAGCAAGAACCCTGTTAGGTCAGTTCAGCAAGAGTCTCTGGTGGCGCAGTGGTTGAGAGTCTGCCTGCCGATGCAGGGGATGCGGGTTCGTGCCCCGGTCCGGGAGGATCCCACATGTCGTGGAGTGGCTGGGCCTGTGAGCCATGGCCGCTGAGCCTGGGCGTCCGGAGCCTGTGCTCCGCAACGGGAGAGGCCACAGCAGTGAGAGGCCCGCGTACTGCAAAGAAAAAAAAAAAAAAAGAATCTCCCTACTTCTCATGTCTCCCCTTAGCACTGTTCCATCCACTGATCATCCTCTCACCCCCAATTCTGTTCCCTAGCTATAAATCCCCAGCTGTCTTTGCTGTATTCAAAGTTAAGTCTGATCTTTCCCCCCACTGTGATAGTCATTAACAACTACTGCAATAATCCTGAATAAGTCTTCCTTACCATTTTAACAAGTACCAGAATAATTTTTTTCTTTCATAAGCCTCAGTGGCCAATGGAGTGCCCTAGCAAGAGATGGGATGGAAGGAGGAATGGAATACTTGGATATTTATTCCCCTGGCTTCCCCCTAGATGGTCCATCACTCAAGTGAAGTTCTCAGCTCCTGACAGGAGGCCCTCCCTATCTTCACTGCCATAAACTGCTCCCTGTCTTGTCCCTTCAGGTTGGTGATGGAGCCTCATTATTACTAGGCCCAGAGATACCATACTGTCCCTCTCCCTGTGGTTTTTCATTATTTTGTGAGTTATTAAACTCTCCTCAAGGTATCCTAATTTGAGGATGCCATCTGTTTCCTGCTGGGTTCCCCTAATACAGATATCATCATAGCAGATTTCTTATCTTCTAAAGGCTATTAGCTCTTTCTAAGAAAAGAAGGCATGAATACAGAATACAGTGAGATTTCCATGAGTGACTTAGTGACTTCAACAAGGTGACCTTGCCAAGCTACCACTTCTCCCTCCTCTGGTTATCTTCATAACTACGGTAACTGTTTTCTGAAACACATTGTTTCCAAGTAGACTCTCTAAGCATTAATAGGGATTATTTTAAGAAACACCCAAGGAAGCTAGAAGTAAAAATTATGCTAGTTGAAACTAACTATGCTAGAAACCTAAGGCAGAAGAAACGCTGCCTTTATTTCTATCTAGTACTTAATTTACAGTAACACTTCCAATAAATGCCAAGAAACACTGTTTAATAATACCAGATACAAGCCTGGTAACCCAAAGACAAGCCTGCAGAAGGCCACTTCTGTAAGTAATCTAGAGCAGTATTTGTCAATTTCAGGTTGTAACAGATTGTGAAATCAATTCAATGGGTCATAACATTTTTTTAAATGACACATACTATACATAATAATTACATAATAATGGAAATAAAAGAGAAGAGTTCACCATACATAGTAAAGGTAAATATAATTTCACCAAATTTTTATTTCACTTTTTAACATACCTATATTTGTGGGTATACTAAGTCATGATGTAAAATGTATTCCTTATTGTGAGTTGCAGTCAATAAAGTTTGAAAGTCATTGGTATGAAGAAAATCCCTTTCAAACAATATAATGATTAGAAGGCTAAAAGCATGTTGCTTCAGCCAAGAGCCTCATATTTTTTATCTCAGCCCTCATAAAAAATATAGTTTATTTCATCACCGTGTACAAGCACTTTTATAACTGAAATAGGGAATTCCCTGGCAGTCCCGTGGTTAGGACTCGGTGCTTTCACTGCTGGGGGCCCGGGTTCGATCCCTGGTCAGGGAACTAAGATGTTGCAAGCCGCGGGCACAACCGAAAACAAACAAACAAAACCCACACTGAAATAAAAATTTTGTGAAAACAATATTTACTCTTACCACATGATGTACTATGACACGTATTCTATTTCATTTCTCTTAAATGATGATTGCAAACCACAGCTTGAAATGTACTGGCCTAGAGTATTAAGAGCGTCAGTCTGGAGAACTCTGTTCACATTACTCTGTTCCTCTCACAGATGCCTTCCTCGGTGTTTACCTAATTTCCACTGTGGTAGCAAGCACTCAAATCCTTTTCCTTCTCAGGTTCCTGTGTAACTACTACATGACTTCTAACACCTAGTTGCTCCAGTGGGAGAGAAATGCTTGGATTAAGAAGCAGATAAAAAGTATGGAGCAGATGTGGACACAGGCCATCCACACATCCCTGCACTCACCGCCATGACACCCTGAGAGCAGCGTCACTGCAAACACCCGCAGCCTTAGCGCCGTGGAAGCAGCTGAGCCAGCACAGATGGGAGTTGGAGGATAAATATCCCAGCCTCCTTGCCCTTGCCAAGTCCACCAGCAGGACTGATTAGCAGCCACCACCAGCAGCGGCTGGAAAATACACCCTGCACTGGCTACCTTCCCACACCTTTTCACTTCCCTGCTCAGGTTTCCTGGAGTCACCTCCCACACTAATGACTTGCATTCAAACCTTTGTCTCAGGGTTTGCTTTTGGGTAAATGCACACCAGTGTAACACAGTGTTGTTTGGAGCCAGGGCTGCAAAGATGAGAAAGGCCTGTCCTATAAAAGCTCGGAACCTGACAGGAAAACCAATGATTTTTTTTTTTTATAATGTAAAAACACAAAACAAAACTTCACTGTTTTGGGAGGAAAGGATGAAGCAACAAACTGACTTAAGGATCAGCGAAGCCCCTATAGATGACTTGTTCTACCCCAAACACCTCAAGGACAGAGAGCTCCCCCTCAGGAATCAGCAGGTGATCAGTGTTACAATGGGTGTGGTCCATGTTCACTTCTCTGTAGGCTAGTGCCCTGGTTCCTCATACTAACTGTGATGTTTCCATCTTACATACAGGTTAAGAAGAAAGGAATTTTTATTTCCTCCAAAGAAACAATTCTAGTCTTCAGCTAAAAATAACCCATGTAGTATGGAAAATATAAAGGGAGAAAAACTATTAAGTTCTTGATGATGTGTTAACAAAATTATTTGCAAGTCAGCTTTGACCTTTTTCTGTTCCTATGAGGTCTTTGGGGGTGGAAGCAAGTACTCAACCCAAATCTTTATTACAAGTTCTGATGATCTGCTGATATTTTCATTCAAAAATTACTTTTTAGGGACTTCCCTGGTGGCACAGTGGTTAAGAATCCGCCTGCCAAAGCAGGGGACACGGGTTCAAGCCCTGGTCTGGGAGGATCCCACATGCTGCAGAGCAACTAAGCCCATGCACCACAACTACTGAGCCTGAGCTCTAGAGCCCGCAAGCCACAACTACAGAGCCCATGTGCCATAACTACTGAAGCCCAGGTGCCTAGAGCCCATGCTCCGCAACAAGAGAAGTCACAGCGATGAGAAGCCCCGAGCACCGCAACAAAGAGTAGCCCCCGCTCGCCGCAACTAGAGAAAGCCTGTGCACAGCAACGAAGACCCAACGTAACCAAAAATAAATAAATGTCATGCTTTAAAAAAAATTATTTTTTAAATGTAAAGTCTACTATGTGTTCAGCTCTGTGGCCAACACTGTATATCAGGACTTTTTTCAGAATCAAACAAGAAGCCTGTGGCTAATTTTCCTCTGCCTCCCCCGTTTTGGTAAATATTTCAGCAAAGGCACAACAGCAGCAGAATTCCTTCTCTCAGGAAAGGAGTCACGAGAGCTACAGGTAAAGGGTGTCCTTGTACCGAAAACAGCTTCTCCAACGTGCCAGGTACACCTGGACCTGAGACTAGACTACTCACCCTGATCCGGCAGGAAGTGATGGCAGAGCTGAAGGGACATTAGCCTGGGGTTTTTCTTTCTCATTTTGCTTGAAGAAGGATTTGGCTTCTTTAGATGTAGCATCCACTTCCTTAGTCACCCTGTACCAAGGAAGGAGACACCAACTTTACAAGAGGAATAAAAAGAAAGAAACAAAATCTAAGGAAAGGGCATAAATAACAACAAGGAAAAACCCACTGGGCTTTCTGTAAATTCTGGCTGCTGAGCTTTATGATTAAAGTGTACTGTAACAGTTCTAGATAAAGACATTTTCCCCTTATTAATTTAACAAATGAAACAACAGCATATGTAAGTCTGATGTCTCTCAAGTCCCCTCCGTTACTTCTGTCAGCATGACAGTCACCACTGAATCACAGTCCACGTGGGTCACCGATGGGAAGGCTGAAAAGGGCTCTTCCACTGCACCTCACACACAGATGAGCGCTCACACTTAAGTAAAAGTTGGAATGGGGAGATGGAGTATTTGGGAGAAAAACACTGGCATTATTTCAAGGAGAAAAGCAACAGTATAAACAATTGGGAATACTCTAAAGAAGGCTCCTGCTCTATACCTAACTGCCCAAACATGAAACAAAATTCCTTAAAACCGGCCAAATAGGCAGTGATTTAAGGGTGGAAGAAAGCAACACGATTGAGAATCCTGTCCAGTTTCAAAACTGGAAAAAATGCCCTCAATAAAACTAAGTCCTCACCAGGGAAGTCCCTGTTTTTCTTTAATTAAAAATAATCTTTTGATGTTCCTACTACCTGGTTTGCAAAAACTCCTATATATCCTGGCTCCTCCCTGACCTCTTCAGAGCAGTCCCTCAGAGTCATCTGAGAGGTTGTCTTCCAGGCTTAAGTCCTCATCAAGCCCGTCAAATAAAACGCAGTTCTCCAAAAAAAAAAAAAAAAAAAAAAAAACTGAGTCCTAAAGCAACAAATAAAAGTATTAATGGTGCCTGAAATTTCAGATAAAGAAGGGAAATGCCTAATGCCGGCCTGAGTTTGCCAAGTCAATAAAAACATTTGAGGAATTTTGTTTAAATGCCAATCTGTCTGTCGGAGGGTCCAAGATTATGGTCACTGTGTTATCACGAGTGTTCAAATAGGTCATTCAGCATAATGACAGATGAATCCTATAAATTCCAGATTTGCAGGAATAGAAGTCTCTATCTTTTCTCTTCTTCCTTCTACGCTTCTTAGGACCAAAACCAAAATTTCTCTTTAAGAACCATCTCACTCCTGCACTCAGTACTGTGTCACCCACACAAGTGGCACAAAATAAGAGGTTGAGAGTTCTACATTAAGAATCTTCACTGGCAAAGACTACCTTAATCCTGAAGGATGACTTCAAACAAACAAACGAACACTCTGTTACTCCCCTACTCAAGTTCTTATGATGGCTCACTATTACTCAGAGGATCAAATACAAACTGCTGAACCCCCCAAATCAAGGTCCCCCCCAAATCTGGTCCTACTCTGTATTGGGCTTAATTTGTGTGTCCCTCTATTCTCCTAAGTAAACCTCTCAGTACTAAGGGTCAAGAGTCAAAAACAAGAGGAAGAATTTATATGATAGATCAGACCACCATTCAGCAAATATTCACACCTTCCCTGTGGACCAAGAAGACACTCCCCTACCCTACCGATGCTGAGCTTGGATACATGACTTGCTTCAACAGTCAATGAGATGTTAGCTGACTTGACAGGAAAAGAAGCTTTAAATGTATTTGTGCTGTTTCACTTGCCCCTTGAGTTCCTCCCTTTAGCCATAAGAGCAGTATGCCTCAGGGAGCTGCTGGTCTAAGATGGCTGAAAAACACATGCTGCAGATCTGAACCCAACAAGCAGCTTGGAGACCAGCCTAGATTAGCTGAACCCCAGATATCCAGAAACACATGTTCAACAAATAAATTCTTATTGGTGTACACCACTGTGTTTTGGGATGGTCTGCAGCATTCCTGTAGTAGCCGCTAACACATTTACATTTCATGAGTGAGAACACTGATATCTAAGGGGTTAAGTTACTTTTCCTCATCTAGAGATTAAGTAGCAATGCTACAGAGAGCCCTGCAGTAAATTCTATTTCCCAAAGATGGTTGCCACAAATTTCCCAACCTCCATGCTCTTCCAGAACCTGACACTACCCCAATGAAAGGGAGAGTATATGTCACCCCCCTTGAAACTGGGTGGGCCTTTGCGGCTGCCTCGACTCACAAGATTCAGTGGAAGGGGCACTACATGACTTATAAGGCTCACTGAGAAAAGGTGATAGAGCTTCCAGGTGGCTCTCTCTCAAGAATGTACCTCTGAAACCGCAAGTTACCACACAAGAAGTCTGGCTGCCCCGAAGCCACCATGCTGGAGAGAATACATGGGAATACCACTGAGAGAGAGATACCTAAGGAGCCCGTTCCAGACGGTGTTTCTTCCTGGCCCAGGCACCAGACATGGGAGTAAATAAACTTTCAAGATGGCCCCAGACCCAGCCACTAACTACAACTGCATGAGAGGGTCTGTACAAGAACCATCTAGCTGAGTCCAGCCACCCCAGAACTAGGAGAAATTACAATAAAACAACTGTTTTAAGCTGCTATAGAGACAACCAACATAAACCTACATCCAAACCTGAGGCTTAATGCAGAGTCCCAGAGTACTGGCCTAGAAAGTTGCTTTAAATCTCCTTGCCCTGGGTGGAATCTGGAGCAGAACTGAGATGGCTTGTGAAGAACAAGTGGAAACTTCCACTTGGAAATGGTGGTTTGAACTCTACTCCCTACCAAAACCCTGCCAAACAGTGGTAAACAAATTTACAAAGGCAGAACTACACAAGGATAAGAACAGGTATAATAGGAGAAAGATGTCAATCAAAATTTTTGAAGGTAGAAAGCAAACACAAGTAAAAGTTGACTTAGGTCTTTGTTTGCTCTAATCTCTCAAGCTGGTAGCCATGTGAAATGGCCAACAAGCAAGCAGTATCCTAGAAAGGCTCAGTAAATGGAGATACCAGGAAACTTTGAAGGTTGGGGAGAGGAGTGGGGCTAAAACTAGTTGAAAGTTTGTATCAGGAGCGTCTAGGTCCCAGTTCCCCTTCTCTACCTTATACCACAGGCTACTGACCCCTACCCAACCCAGGACCCCATTATTCGTTGGAGAAATGAAAATCACATAAGTTCCAGACTCAGATGGCAGGGCCGAAGTCTCATTCTCAAAACGGACAACTTAAATGAAGATGTATCTATTCACTCTTCCTTTGCCACAGCAATCTCAAGGGCTATGTGTTTCCTATGTGTTTCAGACGGCTGAGTTGTAAGATGTAGGGCTACCCAACCTGTGTTGGACTGTGTACCAGTAACAAATAAATATGTGTTATGCTACGGACTTTCTGGGTTTATTTGTTACCCCAGCATAGCCTAGCAGAGCCTTACTATTACATCAATTTAACTAATAGGAATTTCAGAATAAGAAAATATGGGAAGTTATGAACAAAAAGAAAAATTTCCTAGAAGTTTCCACAAAATGAGTGTTCCACAGGATATGTGACCCAGCAATTTATTTTATTTATTTATTTTTAAAAATATTTTGGCCGTACCACGCAGCTTGCGGGATCTCAGTTCCCCGACCAGGGACTGAATGCAGGCCACAGCAGTGACAGTGCTGAATCCTAACCACTAGGCCACCGAGGAACTCCCATGAGCCAGCAATTTAAAAAGATCTACAGGGCTTCCCTGGTGGCGCAGTGGTTGAGAGTCCGCTTGCCAATGCAGGGGACAAGGGTTTGTGCCCCGGTCTGGGAGGATCCCACATGCCGCGGAGCGGCTGGGCCCGTGAGCCATGGCCACTGAACCTGCGCGTCCGGAGCCTGTGCTCCGCTAACGGAAGAAGCCACAACAGTGAGAGGCCCACATACCGAAAAAAAAAAGGCACATCATTATGAAACTTTAGAATGCTGGTGATGAGAGAAGATAAAGATCAAGTAGCCCAAGTCATAGGGAAAGTAAAAGAAGACTTTCTGCAAAGTATGTTTTGTTTACTTGTTTTACCACAGTACCAACAAAACTTTTCTACCAGCAACCTAAGACAATTCAGTGGACATTTTCTGAAAAGCGACCTAGATGCAGGCACTGTGTTGAACATGAGACATATAAAAAGATATGACATTGTCTCTGCCCTGACTGGCTCACAGTCCATCAGGACAGCCAACCATGAAAACAAATCATAACAAAACATGATATATAGTAAGTGGCATAAAGGAAGCATGGAAAAAAGTATAAGTTGTAGGAATATCTCTATTAATTTCTTACTGCCAAAGTCTTATTCATGGACTTCCCTGGTGGCGCAGCGGTTAAGAATTCTCCTGCCAATACAGGGGACACGGGTTCAAGCCCTGGTCCGAGAAGATCCCACATGCTGTGGAGCAACTAAGCCCGTCTGCCACAACTACTGAGCCTGCGCTCTAGAGCCTACGAGCCCCAACTACTGAAGCCCGCGCCCCTAGAGCCCTGCTCCGCAACAAGAGAAGCCACCGCAGTGAGAAGCCTGCGCGCCACAACGAAGAGTAGCCCCTGCTCGCTGCGACCAGAGGAAGCCCATGTGCAGCAACGAAGACCCAATGCAGCCAAAAATAAAATAAATTAATTAATTAATTTTTTTAAAAAAAGTCTTATTCATATTCACTAGGAAACAAGTTCTTTAAACTGGAATATTTCTCTCAGGGACTTTGATAAATGACACAAAGTAAAAATAAGCAGATTACTGTATATTGAAAATACGCCTAGAAGAACTCCACTTTTAACAAGCAGTAAGAACAGATTCGCAGGAATTCCCTGGCGGTCCAGTGGTTAGGACTTGGTGCTTTCACTGCCGGGGCCTGGGTTCAATCCCTGTTCAGGCAACTAAGATCCTGCAAGTCAGGCGTTGACCTAGATGCAGACGGGGCGGTGGGGGGGCGTGGGATTTGCTATCAAAATATCTTCAAGTAGGAGAACAGTTAAATTATAGACCACTCCTAATGTACAAGAGGGAACCCTGACAGGAAAAGGCCCATCATTAGCAACAGTTAATTCAAGTGCTAGCAGAAGGAATTCCATCTTAACTT